CCACAGAATATAGTTTCATGTTTATTTATTGTCTGTCTATCCCCGTTGGAATGTAAGTTTAATGTTTTGTGTGTTTTGGTATCCATTCCTCTGCACACAGAATAGGGCCTGGCTCACAGTAGGCATCCAGTAAATACCTGTAGAATAAATTTATTGAGTGAATTGTTTTAATTTATATTTTGATTTTTAGCCAGAATGCACATTTTTCAGATACTGAGAATCAGTCTAATGCAGTGAGTAAGGCCAGTCAGTAAGACTGACTCTGATGTCAGTCTTCTGGGTCAGATTCCTAGCCTTGTCACTTTATGTGTGGGCTTGAGCAAGTCTCGTGCCTCAGTTTATTCATTCATAGAATGGGAATACTCTCTCTTCCTAGTAGTGTTATTGAGAGATTTAAAGGATAGATGCATGTAATGGCTTGCACCAGATCCTGCCTGTCTAAACGTCAGATTAACGTTTTATTGGGCATTTGTGTTTCATTTCAAACGTTTCTGTTCCTGTCCTTTGTCCACTTTTACGGGCGCTTGTTTTTCTAGTTGATGGGCGGGAAGTTCATGGGAGCACCCTCCTGGGTCTGGGCTGAACGCCCGCAGCTCGCACAGCCTCCAGGGGGCGCCCGGGGCCCGCGCTGCGGGGACGAGGCAGCTCCTGACTTTCTGCGCAGAGAACTGCGGCCGTAGCCGTGAACTGGGTTCACCAGGGTTTGTCCCCATTGTCCTGAACCCTCTTCTCGCCGCCCCATCCAAATATGGTTAGCTGGAGAGGGGCCCGGCGACGGCGGCTGGAGCGTCGTCTCAGGAGTACGGCCTCTTGGATCCATCCCACTTTTGTCCCACCTTTGTGTGAGGATTTCACCGATGTTAGATTGTTCCTCCACCCCCTGCGCCCACCGAGCCCTTGGGAAGCAAGCGGGGATGGATGCTTGCCCTAGTGTCTCGGGAGGCTGCAGGGTCAGGATTCCCTCAGGGTCTGGTTAGTAGGGTCACCAAGCAGCAGCTTCCTGCTTGGACAGCTCCTGAGCTGAGGGATGGAGATGATGGGGTTCAGGGGCCCTAGAGGGAGTTAGATGGACGGCCACAGGGTCCCAGCCTGAAATGAGGCCACAAAATCCTTGGGGCTGGGGAGCAGAGGCCTCTGCAGGAGTAGAGGGTAAGGGAGACACAGGGTGCTCAGTGTGGCCAAGGTGTCACCTAATGACTAAGATAGTCAAGTCTGGACATGGCAGCTTGATTGTGAAAGGAAGTGGAGGGTGTCAAGAAGTCTGTGACCTGGCCAGTGCAGTGGGCCATTCACATCCTGTTAAAGTTACCCAAGATGAAGGTAGTTCTTTGAGGCGAGAAAGGGTGAGCCAGGGCCCAGAGTGAGGGCTGAGAAAGTGGGGAACAGAGGAGCCTCAGAGGTTAGGGGCGGGGGGGCTGTTCAAGGGCACAGAAGCCATGGTCTCTGGGAGTACTGGGGGTTTGGAGAATGAGTGGCAATGCCCAGGGGTTATGGGGAGGCTTGGCAGGAGGAGTCAGGGTCCAGGCAGAAGATGGAAGGAGAGGTTGTGCATGTGTCCTCGGGAGATGGCCCCTGTTTTCCAGGGTGGGAAGAACGTAGGTTGGGGTGGGGGGCAGGTGAGGAGATACAAGACTTCTCCGGATGGCAGGACAGGATAGTGTGACCAAGGGTATGAGGGTAGGGAGGCTGGACAGGCCCCAAGGCCTCACGTGGGGCCCTGGACAGAGCCAGGGCAGCAGAGACTTCGCTCATGCCCCAGGCCTCAGCTGCTGCTTCGAAGGACCTATATCCTATTAAGAACCCCCTCACTGTGATAGGCTCTTAGAGGGAGCCAGTCACGGGCTCTCAGTGCATGCCAAGGCACCCCACACATGCTTCCGGAAGCATTAAGTGCTTTAAAAGGCCCTCTGCTTGGCATGTCGGCCCCATTAGAGGGAACATTTTATCACAATGGAGGCACAAGTAGGTTGTTTGATGGTAATTGCTTTCCTAACCCATAGAGAAAATGCATCACAAACCCACCACAGTTAAGTAAAATGGTCACATTCCTCTCTTTTGATTTAGAGCTATTTAGAATTATTAGCAACTGACTTTGTTTTCAGTTGTTGTTGCTGTTTTTCTCAACTGAAACTTTTTTCTTTTGAATCCCATAAAATATTCTAAGTGCTCCAGAAGGGGAGAATGAAAGGGTGTTTGCATTTCCAGCTCAGCAGCCAGCCATTGCTCAAATAATACCCTCAATATGTAACCTGGGAGCTTAATATCCTCAAATATTTATAATTACACAAAAATGGCCCTAAGAAATGTTCAGCTTATTCACAGCTGGATAATTGTTGGCATCCAACGTTCAGAGACTCAGAGCTGCTTCTAAAAATTCAGTGGTGTCCCTCTGCCACTCAAAGCATGCATGGTATGTGGAGTCTGTATGCAGATCCCCAAGGGGGCAAAGAGATGGCACATTGAGGCCCTAACTCTCCCTGGCACATTGCAGCCACCTCTCCTGCTAGGCCTGAGTTCCCTTCTTCTTTTCCAGAGCATGAGATGTCCAGCTGTGAAATGCAAACAGCACCCAGCCCCACTGGTCATGAGGAAGAGCCAGTGTGTTGTATAAACACACACACAAAAGGTGGACTCAGTTATCCCTAACAAATCCTTTAGTCTCTCATGGATAAAGTCCCATAACTGGGAGTGTCTCGTGTAATCTCAGATGCTCCCCATAAAAGGGTGCTGTGGGCAGCTGAGCATGTGACAGGCTGCACACTCCATCCTCTGCCCCTTTGGAGAGGTACAATGCATATTCTCTACTAATACATTTTCCCTTTCCTGTGGCCTCTCCTGCTGCTCCCTGTGCTCCATGCACATTTCCAGAACATCAAGAAAAGTATTTTCCCTGCATAATTATCCGCCTCCTCCCCACCCACCTACACACATCTTTCCTGCTTTGAAGTGGCAGCTGCTCTGACTTCTTTCGGTGGACTGCACTCTGCATTTACTAGTCAGGTGGAGTTAAATTGCAGGAGCTGCCAGCCAAGGCTGGGGGCGAGGGACCCCGGCACCAGCCCTCCCCTCACCCACCTGCCTAGGCTCTTCTGTCCGTGTTAAGGTCTCTTTCCCACTTCTCCTGAGCTGGGGGCAAGTGTTGGTCCTTGAATGGGTCACAAATCAGTGCCTCTCCCTCCTTCTCCCAAACTCAGACTGCCTTAGTCTTGACCTTGAAACCAGATTTGAAATTCCTCTTCAGTGAGATCAGCTAGTATGCTCTCAGCTGCAGAACACAGACAACCCAATCCAAACTAAATCAAACAATAAAGAGAGTGGATTGGCTCACATAACCTCAGAGTCCAGAGATGGCCAAGGTGCCAGCTGAGGTTCAGGCAGGGCACTCACTCCACTGCTCTGGGTTCTCTCAGGCCTGCCTACCTCTGGCTATGGGCTTCATCCCTAGCCTAGCCACACTCAAGGCCATAAAGAAGTCAAAGCTATTCCAAACCCATGTCCACACTCTGACCTGACAGAAGAGTCTGTGGGTCTTCCTCCCCACGATCAAGAAATCATCTTCCCAGGGATCCACCAAAAGTCCCTCTGGTCCAGTTGATCCAGATTGGGTCTGGTGTCCACCCATTGGCTAATCGCTGAGGCCAGGTGGATGCGATGTGCTGATTGGTTTCACTCTATCAAGACCTGCCTTTGCAGCTGGAGGAGGGTGGGAAGTCTAGAGGTTGCATGGGGGAAGGATGAACATTCAAATAAAATGTGGAATATGTCACCAAAGGGAGGAAGAAATGGATGCCAGAAGGCCCACAATGGTGGGTAACTTGTAATAAAGTCCTCTCAGCTTATCTCTCTGAGAAGCAAAAATCGGTCTCTCTGTGCACGTCGATAAAGATTTTCCAAGCAAGGTCCTTGCCTGCCTCTAGAACACTGGCTGGCCCATCTGGTGTTCCACCAGTACTAGTGGAACGAAGGGATAAAGAGAGGAAGAAACAGGAAAGCCACCTTTCCATTTGCTTGCTGTAGGTGGCTCTAGGGCTCTGGGTGAAGCGATGGACTGGGACAGCTTTGGGATCAATGGTGCTGGCTGGTTGGGGCCCAGGACCCAGAGTGACACATGCCCTCCTCCGAAGAACTCACTTCTGAGATGGCCAGGAGAAGGAAGGGCTTTTGCCAACAGAACTATGTGGCCTGTCATTTAAGTATCTACTACCCAAGCTGCAGGGATAATTCAATGAAATTCTGGAAGCATTTATGGAACATCTACTCATGCCAAGCCCAGGAATGGGCACTATAGAGCTCATTAAGTGGACAAGGCACAGCTAGTCCATGCTATGTGGGTGTCTAGCCTGGTGGATATGGGTCACAACAAAGCCAGGACAAAAACAATGGGCATCCATCACCAGAGGTCAAAAGAGCCCCCTCACTGCCCCCTCTGCATCACCTTAGACTTCTCTCTCAATAACTGGAATGAGCCCCTAGGTGTTCTCACATAGCTACTGGGTGTTCTAGATACTCTTTTTATAAACACAGATTAGTGACAAATCATTCCAATCTTCATGTTTCCACCTTAGTTGCTAAGGCTTAGAGGAAAGAGTGCCTCCCCAATTTTCTTTATGAAGAAGTTGGTACCTTGGACACAGTGTTCCTTGAAAACTCTTCTTAGTAAGATGAATAATTTTTTTTCTTCAGCAAAATAGTCTTTTCCTCCAAGTTTTTGAAAATGATTTTAGTCTCTATGCCCAATTCCAGAGTGGATGTGTATTCAATGTCACAAGTTAGCAGATGCCCCAGGTCAGGTGTCAGGGCGGCAAGAAGGGCTCTTGTGGCTTCCTAAAGCCAGATCCCATTTTCCCAGAAACAGGAGTGCCTGGCTGGCTCAGGCAGAAGAGTATGTGACTCTTGATCTTGGGATCAGGAGTTTCAGCCCCACGTTGGGTGTAGAGATTACTAAAAAAAATAAACTTAAAAAAATAAGAACACATGAATAAAAGTCACATGGCACTATGTAAATGGGAAATGCAATGGGGACTTTTAATCATCTGCTTATATTGTGTACTGCGTTTGGGTTGAGAAATTTTTGAGTATGTTTGAATTTTTGGTTGAAACTGCCTGGTGGCCATTCCCCAGCTGACTCCTCCACTGAGGTTTCCTGAAGTCCTTGGGTCTTCAGTGAGAGTCCATGTCAGTCATGCCGGGAGGGCATTTCTTCTCCTTAAAGAGCTATTCCAATTCAATCACCAGACTGAAAGGTATTCATTCACTTTGCAAGTGTTTTTTGGGCACTACCAGGTTTAAAGTTCTGTTCCAGGTACTGGGTCTGAAACTCTGGGCAGCCTATTCCTCAGGACAGTCACACTGAAAAGGATCTCTGTGTTCTCTCCCACTTTTCTCAGCCCTGTGAGGAGATGTGCTGCAAAGACAAATGTGAGAATCAGGACATGGCCATCCGGTGACTCCCAACTTACCAGTAGTATTAATTTTGTATTGCTGCTATGACAAATCAATACAAACTTAGGGGTCAAGACAAATGTATTCTCTTATGGGTTTGGAAGTCAGAAGTCCAGAATCAGTTTCACTGGGTTCAGGTCAAGGTGTCAGCAGGGCTGGTTCTTTTGGAGGCTCTGAAGGAAGAATCCTTGCTTTCTCAACTTCCAGTGGCCACCTGTATTCCTTGCCTTGTGGCCTCTTTCTTGACTTCAAAGCACATCACTCCAATCTCTGCTTCTGTCATCACATCAGCTTTCTAGCATCCTTCTTCGACCTTTCCTCCCTCTTCTAAACACACTTAAGATTACTTTTAGGGACTACCAGATAACCAAGGATAATCTCCCCATCTCAAGATCCTTAACTTTATCACATTTTCAAAATCCCCTTTGCCATATAAGATAACCTTCACAGGTTCTCGGGAAAGCCATTATTCATCCTACTGTGCCAGCCCAGAACAAAGCTGGGTGAAATTTCTCTCTCATGCCTCACATCAGAGCATGAGCTCCTGCCAGCACCTGGCTGGGTTTAGCACCCTATCCAAGCAAATCTCCCTGAAAATCTAAGATTTTCCTGGGGACTTAGAAATTTTTCTGTCAGCTTTTTAGTTATGAGGCTGCCTCCGTGGCCAGGTATCCTGAGATGGCCACTCAGTTGAGCATTGCTGGCCTCCCTGGCCACTCCTAAGGCCCTACTCTGGCTTCAGGAAGGGTTTCTTCTTTTTATTTTTTATTTTTTAAATTTTTTTAATGTTTAATTATTTTTTTAAATGTTTTTATTTATTTCTAGGAGAGAGAGAGAGAGAGAGACAGTGTGAGTAGGGGAGGGTCAGAGAGAGGGAGTCACAGACTGAAACAGGGTCTAGGCTCTGAGCTGACAGTCAGCAAAAAGCCTGACGTGGGGGTCGAACCCACGAACCTTGAGATCATGACCTAAGCGAAAGTCAGACGCTCAACCGACTAAGCCACCCAGGCACCCCGGGTTTCTTTTTTTTAAAGCCAAGAGAGCTGGCCTAACAAGGCTTGTTGCCAGATGTCAGGTTTTCTAAAAGTAATTTGCCTCAGAAATGACTTGTCTTTGGCCACTGCCAGGGGCTCCACTGTGATCACCTGTCACTGCTGCCACCAAGCCCTTCCAGCCAACAGTGCTGCCTGGTGGGACCTCTACTGCCTGCTCCCTGCTCTTTCCTGCCTCAATGTGGGCACTTGGTCCCCATGCTGGAACCACCCAGACATCTCCATGTAGGATGACGAACTGTCCCACGTGGCCTGGGACTGAGGAGTTTCCTGGGATGTAGGACTTTCAGTGTTAAAACGGGGATGGTCCCAGGCAAACCGGGATGACTAATCCTCATCTCTATATCTCAGAATCTGGAGGCCTCTCAAGCAGCCCCAGAGAGAAAAGAAGTCTCTCTGTCATCCAGTATTAAGACTAGTTTCATTTCTAGCCTCAAAATTAATCATTTCCAGGATAGTTACCTAAGTCAATTAGTTTTTTCATGAGTAACTGTCCCTCATCCTCCAGGACCCAACTAGACAATCATCAAATAATCTGAGAGGGGTATATATCCCAAAGTCTGGGAGGCTCTGTCCAACCTGGGCATTACCCTCCTCATTAGAGCTAAAATAAAACAGCCTTCCTTATCAACTGAGCCTGTTGCAGGCAACTCAACAGGATGTATGCAGAGGCCCCAAGCAGTGAATTGCTGGGAATGACAAAGTAAAGCATATCTATTATTGAATATTTTCTGTGAGTCCAGTACTAAACTAGGGTATGCAGCGGAGGTTGATAACCTAGAACTTACGCCCTTAAGAACTCACAAACCCCAGGTCTTGGGGGATCCCAGTTATTTCCTACTGGCTTGATTTGAAATCTGGATGTTGGGGTGGGTCCACAAAGAGGGGTTGAAACCTAGATTCCACCTGCTCCAGAAGAAGATGCAGCCCTTTGTATCCCTTCAAGGAAAAGGCTTTCCTGGGGGAAAATCTCATTTCTTGATGGCACACTCATTCCTGGGGCTGACTGCTCACCTCATGAAAGCACAAGAACATCAATTATCTTGTCATTTCCCCCCAACACGTAGGTCAAGATTTCTGTGAGCCAAATCAGCCCTAGCTGTAGGTAAAACGTCACCATCAAGGTGCAAATGAAACTTCCAATTCAGACGTCTCCTGGGGCAGACTGTGTTATAAGAACGTGCGTGGGCTTTGCTCAATGACATGTCAAGCAGACAAATGCATATCTGGTGCCATCTATATTCAAGGCTGCCTTACCAGGCACCAGGAGGGCTTTCCTGAATAAATCTCATAGGCTTTAGTGGGAAGAATCCCCACCGACAAGTTCATCTCCTTTATTTGATGGGTGAATAAACTGAGGCCCCAGAGAATAGGGAGGGATGCCCAGGAAGCCATTAGAGCAGAAGGGGGACAGAAAATTGAACTGAGTCCTGGATTCCAGACCTCCCTCCACCAGGCAACATTGCTATCAGATTGATTAATTAGGCAGGGAGCATGGGTGGCTTACTCGGTTAAATGCCCATCTTCAGTTCAGGTCACAATCTCATGGTTCATGGGTTTGAGACTGGCATCAGCTCCACACTCACAGAGTGGAGCCTATTTGGGATTCTCTCCATTCCTCTCCCTCTCTGCCAACCACCCTCCCCCACCCCCACTTGAGCTTTTTCTCTCCTTCTCTCACTATCAAAAATAAATAAATAAATAAACTGGAAAAAAAAAGAGAGAGAGAGACTGGGCACTTGGGTGACTCAGTAGGTTAAGGCTAGGGCTTTTGATTTTGGCTCAGGTCATGATTTCATGGTTTGTGAGTTCAAGCCCTTCAATGGGCTCTGTGCTGATAGTGTGGAGCCGGCTTAGGTTTCTCTCTCTCCCTCTTTCTCTGCCCTTACCACACTTGCACTCTTTCTCTCAAAATAAATAAACTTTTAAAAATATTTTTAAAAACTGATTAATTAGGGAATAGACCAATAGTATAAGCTGACTGCAATGGAACCTGGATGAACTGCTTGCACTGGGCTAATTGCTTTCTGGGTATTATGTCATTTACTAGGGTGCCCAATTGTCCTAGCTTGTCAACCACTGAGGGGTTTCTCTGGAAGCAGCACATCCACTGTGAAAATGGGAAAGTTTCAAGCAACGATGAGTTGGTTACACTACATTTAATTCTCTCAAAAACTCATGAAGGAGCCACTATTGTTGCTTCCATTTTACAGATAAGAAAGTTGAGGTTTACAGATGCTATGTGACTTAAGGTCTCACAGTCTGTAAGCTATAGAAGCAGCACTGAGACTCAGGAAATTCAACTCCAGAGCCCACCAGTTTAACCACTAAATTATAACTTCCTAAAAGGTGGGGAATCTTGCAAATTTTGGCTTTTGAGCATATGTATTTGGGAGATATTTTTTCTGGAAAGAGAGCCTAAGGCACTGATCAGGACCCCACAGAGGCTGAAGAGAAAGTGTAGGGTGGTACAACAAAGGGTCCCTCACTGAGTTTACTTACTCTGAAGATAAGAAAGTGTTCAACCATGAGATCAGGACTCAGGCACAACCCTAGGAAAGCACACAGAGGGTGGGAGGTAAGCAACACTGGACCAGGTCCTGAGGAGTTGTGAAATCAACTTCCCTGGAAGTGTTTACAAAGGGGAGAGTCTCTGTTTGGCTGCTATGACTCAAGCTTGACCTCCACAATGTTCTGGGGATGTGATCCCTTGAGGACCCCAATTTGAAAAGGCAGAAAGCAGCTCTAAGCTTAATCAGCTCGGCAAGGCCACTTTCTCTGCTGCCTGCTTTCGTCAGCAACCAGCAGATGGCTGGGGACTCCAGTGGGTAGGGCTTTCCTCAGACACATGTACATAAAGACACACATACATACACACTCCACGGGTTTTCCTCATAGACACCAAAGAAGCTAATACTCACTGGGTGCTTACAACTTGAAGTACTGTGCTACGTGCTTTATGTGAGAGAACTCATTCATTTCTCACCACAGCCTTATGAGATAGATACTTTATTGTACCTGAGGTCACCCACATGATAAGAATTGGCTCTGGGCTTTGAACCCAAGCAGTCCGACCCAATCACCCCTCTGTCAAACACTTGGCTGCTTGCTTCTTCAGCCATTGCAGTTTCTGTGGCCTGGTTGACTACTCTTGCTCCCCTCCTGTGGGGTTCCAAGGGGCACTCTGAATGTCCTTCCCCCTGCTTGGTGCATACCCTGTCTATGGAGCCCATCTGGGGGCACTACAACCATCAGCATGGTGACAGAGGTTAACATACCTGCATTAAGGATGGAAAGTGAACAGAGAGAGAATGAGACCTCCTCATGACCTACTTCTGTGTTGCTCCTCAGGATGAACTCAGAGAAGGCAAAACTGAGGGGCTCACAGCTACTCAGCCCTGTAGAGAGCAGGGGGTTTTCATCTGCAGGAAGCAAAGGAAAAGTCTGGGCCTGGAAAGGAAGGGCTCTCAGCCCACCTGGGCACATCCATGGTCCTTCCTCCCTACCTTGGCTGGGGAGCCACTAACCCACATAGCATCTAAATAAGCATCCTACAAAAGGCTCTTCCCCACACCAAGATACTCCCCTGAGCTCCAGACTTGGACATTCAGGGCTACCATGCAGAGTTGTAGAGTTTGTTTGGGGCATGAGGGCGCATGGCCAAGGAGACTCACGGGCCTGAGGTCCATCTGTGCTCTGCTCACCAAGCCACGTGCCCCGGTAGGAGGCTACATTTGCCTGGAGGAAAGGACGTCCTTCTCTCATGTGCACAAAGGCACCACATGCGTCCAGGGAAGCTTTGCATTTATCTGCTGGCTCCTGCACAGCTCTACTTGGTATCTGACAGGCATTTCAATGCTGCATGACCCTTGATTTCTGGCCCTCTCAGCCTGCTCCACCCCAGACTGCCCCCTCCCAACGATCAGCACTTCTGTTTACCCAGTTTCTCAGTCCAAAAACACTGGACTCTTCCCCTTCCATTGCCCCTCACATCTAAACCAGCAGCCTGTCCATCAGCTCCACCGCCTTCCCAGCTAGCTCCCCTGTTTTCTGGGGACAATAGCATAGTCTCTTGGACCGTTATAGTACACACCTATCCTGTCCCTCCACTGCTTCACAATCCCCTGGAGGATTCTCCACATTTTTATAGCGTTAACATCTAGACCCCTCATAGTGGCTTATAGATGCCTATGCTCCACACTCACCCCCAAACCACCAGCACACAAGACCTGGCCTGGGGTCATCAAAAAGGAATTCTGCCCAAGAGGCCATCTTCCAGGTGAGGAGGCAGAGAAAGAGCGGAGGCGGGCCACAAGCAGCCACTTGAGGAGGTGAACCCCACACCCGAGAACTGTCCGGGGGTTCCTGGTGGGAATGGGGGAGAAGGATCTCTGAGGAACTCATGAAAGTGCCCTGCTGGGAAAGATCCAGAAGTAATACATGTGCCATGGAGAAAGCCAGAATGTCAGATCCCAGATTCAGTGAAAAGAAGCCCTTTTGGGGTCTCATGCTCCTCTCCCCACCTCACTCTCCCACCTTAGTCCATCCCCAAAGACATGGACAACATAGCAGCTAGCAAATGCGGATGAGCTGGAGCAGGAAAGAAATTAGAAGCACACAGTAACCTGCTGTCCCCACTGCAGGCTTCCCATGTTGCAGAAGGGAGAGGTCTGGATAGGATATATATTTGATGATATAATGGTGATTGGATTTATGTCTACCTGAGTTTTTCTAATAGAGAGAGTTGACGGGGAGGGGGTTTGCAGAAGCCAAATCCAGCTCAATCCATAATCTCCTAGCATGAAAATTGGAGACAGACAGTGCAAGGCATGTCCAGGGGACAAGTCACTCCATGCAACTTGTGGAATATGGAATATGCTGGGGGCATTTGGGGGAGTAGTGATGAGTAGCTGGCAGGGACGGATCACATTGGTCTTGTGAGTTTGGTCAAGTAATCTGAACCTTACTCTGAGGACAGTGGGAAGCCATAGATGGTTGTAGGCAGAGAGTGCCACAATCTGATTCATGTGTTCTAAAGTTCATTCTGAGTGTGGAGAGTGGACTGAAGGGTCAGAACAGAGGTCTGAAGAGGCCTGAACAAGGACAAAGGTCGTGGGGCTGGCAAATGGGGGGTGGGGGGAATGGAATGGTGCGAAATTAAGGAAATGAAACTGGGAGGCCATGCTATATTGCTCCTAGGGTCCCCTGCTACCCCAATGAGTCACAGAGGCCTGTGGGAGGAGCTGAGCAGCTACTGCATGCCAGGCACCAGGCTGGGTATTTCCATTTGTTCTCTCACCCAATCCTCAAATGAGGTAGAAATGATCACCCCTACATGGCCAGTGAAAAGCCCAGTGACTTGTTGAAGGCCACACATCTGGCAGTGAAGCAGCCAGGACTGGAATCCAAGTCCGTCCTGGGGCAGGGGCACGGGCCTATGCAGTCCTGAGTCTGTTGACAGATATACCTGCTGACAGCTGGGAACAGCATCTCACGTGAAAGACATCAGGTGTGTCAACATGGGCAGCCAGGTACACCCTCACCAGGGCCACTGAGAGGAAAAGCCAAAGTGTCAGAGAGAGTCACTGAGGGTCCTGACTGACATGGCAGGCCCTAGACATGGTGGAGACTGACAAGAACAATGAGGACAAAGGTCATGGAGCAAAGCCGAGAACTTGGCCAAGGTCCCTTCCTAAGCAGAGGAACTTGGGTTGAGAAGTTACGGGGAGAGAAGTGCTCAAACCCTACACAAGCTTGCTGCCCTAAGCAGGTGGGGCTATGCAGCTGGCAGCCTGCCCTGGCCTCAATGCCAGCCCGAAGGCCAAGGTCCTTCCTTTCCTGCCCCTTATGAGAGGAGAGGGTCACAGGTGACTGACTGTCCTGTCGTCTACTCACAAAGGGACAGAGCAGGGTCAGGTCAGGGCTGGGCCGTTAGGGACTGCTCAAGTGCCAGGCACGTTTCTAAGTGATTCACACTGAATTCATTTTTCTGTCTCAGTGGCCCTTGGTATAAGTTACTGTCATCGTCCCCATTTTATAAATGGGTAAGTGGAGGAACAAAAAAGTTCAGTAATTTCCCAAGGTTATACAATATCTGGTAACTGACTAAGCAGGGACTTGAACCCAGGTGACCTGGCTCAAGTATAATACCTGTGTGCTTCCACCTACACACTCTTCCCACACCCCTCCTCGGCTCTCCCCTGCTTGAAACCCTTTCCCAGCTTTCCCACAAAATGGTCCCAAATCCTTTTGCTTGAAGACCTGGGTACAGACCAGAGCTAAGTGACCTTGACTCAGCCACGGCCTCTGACTCAACCATGACCCTGACTATCCAGCCAACTCCTAGCGCCTGCCTTGCCCTGCTCAAGTGCCTCAGGCAGGAGCCTATGGATGGACCTTCCCTGTCCATTTGGTCTGAGGGGAGTCAAGCCAGACCTTTGGGGTGGAGAATGGGTAGCCCACAGGCATGCTGACCCACAGTAGGCCAGCTGAGGGCCAGGATCTGAGCCTACTGGTGTCCCTCCCACCACAGCCTTGCCACGTGCACAGACCACAGACCACAGAGACACCGAGCCCTTTGTTCCGCCCAGCTTAAAATAAGTCAGGCCTTGCTCCACAGTGAGAAGTGCCAGGCCACCCTCCTAAAATGGACTCATGTGCCAGGGATATCTGTGGCTGCAACTTGGTGACCCACTGTGACCATGTTAACTCCTGCCTCTCCATGGGGGACTGCAGAACAGCCCCCATTCCAGACAGGACTACTCTTCCCATCCTGGCCTGGTCACTCTGGGCCTCCCTGCCTTCCGCGGGCAGTGGTCACAGCAGAAAAGTGGGAAGGGGGAGCAGTTCCGTGGATCCCAAAAAGCATGGAGACAGGGGTCTTGGGCACCTAGGACAGGCCAGAATTGGGCCTCAGCCTTTTCTGCTCTTGTTGCTGAGCTGCCCTTTGTCATCTCCAGGGGGACCGTGCATTACAGTCCACCAGAAAGCTGAGCCGGCCTTTAATCCCATTTTAGAGGTAAGGCAGGTGAGACTTAGAGGGGATAGGACCTACCCAAGGGCAAAGCCATGATTCAAGCTCCAGTCTGTTCCTACAGCACCCTGTCTCATGAGCACCCCAAAACCACACCCAGGAAAGGTCTTGTCTTGTTCTGACGCCTCAGGACACCTCAGACATGCCACCAAGTCAGTGAACATAAAGCCTGCTGTCTCCCCTGGCAGGTTTTTCTAACCACAAAACTGTAATTTTCCCTTCCATTTATTTTTCCACTTATCCACATGAAGAAGACATAAAGAAAACATAATAAAAGAGTTCCCAAATTAGAGATGTACCATGATGGCAGAGAAGTTTAACTATAAATAGGAGAAAGCTGGCCTCTCCTGGGATGGTCTGATTAGACAGAGGCCTGCACCCTCTCATTAAGCAGCCTCACTGGACCCTCAGAGGCAGCTTAGTGGGGTGTGAGGGAGTCAGCAGTACTAGGGAGGCACTCAATGGGTGACCTATACAGGCAAGCTTTTGGGGAGGGAGCC